AAGCAACCTGTTTCACCTTCTCTTGACCTTAGTGGTCTGTGTCTTGGCATGGGAACTCCAGACCTTTGATTCTGAAAATGTTGTTTGTTTGTTGATGATTTTCTCTCCTCCATTTTTAGTTTTCTGTTTCTAGGATTTCTGTTATCCATATTTTTACCTCCTAAACCAATCCTCTTATTTTCTCTATATTTTGTTCCACTTTATGTTCCAACTCCTCCAATCTTTCATTTCTATTATAAATCTATCAGATTTGTAATTTTCCAAAGACTATTTTTGTTCTTTGAATGTTCTGTTTAGTAGTATGCTGTTCTTGTATCATGAATGCAATATTAATCATAGTTTTATTGCTTATTTTCTTCTCCCTGAATAGTCTTGGTTGCCTTCATTTTTTATTTAGCTCTTTGTCTCTTCGTTTTGACCTTTATTTTTACATTAAAGGCTTTCTTTAGATGTTTGGTCATCTTTGACCATCTGCCTTTATTTCAGAGTGTGGTGGTAAAAAGCTGATTGGTAGCTCTGAGCCTCAGGTGGGGTTCATCTACAGTGGATTTCTGTCAGGTTATCTGGCAAGGCCATTTTGTGGGGGGTGGAGGGGAACCTCCATTGTCAGTATCTTTAGGTCTTTCCCCTTAGACTGGTCAGATTTTCCAGAGAAATATCTTCCCTTTTATGCCTGGTATTATAGACCTGGCATTCTGGGAGCTGAATAAGAAGGGAGTCAAAGTCATATTCTATAAATTCAGGTTCTTCTGATTCTAAGCCTGAGCACATAACCACTATCTAATATATCATTTTTTCTCCTCTTCACTCCAGTTTAGTTTAGTATGTGTTTACTATCTACCCTGAATCCAAATACTTGGTCTAATTAGACCCATTGGTCTAAATGCTGGGGATAAAGAAATTATTAGAATGCCCTACTTCTCCCATCCCAGGTTCAATTTAAGTCAATAAAAGCTATAGAACTTAAGATGTTCAAAGTTCTATGCTAGCATTGTAGAGAGGAAAGGTATCAGTAAGACATAGTTCCTGTCTCAAGAAGCTCATAGATATGTGTGGGAGGTAGAAACAAATTATGAAACCAAAATACCAAGCAAAACATGAAATAAGTACAGCGAAAGGGAAGAAGTACTGTGGTTGTTTAGAAAGGAAGAAGAGATTCATTTTGATTGTGAGGATAAGAAGGAAGTAGAGATTTGACACTTGGAGCTTTAAAACTGTACAGGATTTCACAAGCAGAGATGGGGGTGAGCAGAGTGTAAGCAAAGGCCCAAAGAGCAAAAGGTCTGGAGTTCTAGGACTCTGCTTCTCCTTCCTGCAGGGTGATTCTGGAGGCCCCCTCCATTGTTTGGTGAATGACCAGTATGCTGTCCATGGAGTGACCAGCTTTGTGTCTCGCTGGGGCTGTAATGTCTCCAGGAAGCCCACAGTCTTCACCCGAGTCTCTGCTTACATCTCTTGGATAAATAATGTGAGTCCTCTCGAATTATGGGTTGAAATAGGGTCACCTGGAAATCCAAGCACTGATGGGGTTGGGGAGCAAAAGTTGGTCTGGGGAAGCCATAATTCCTTACCACATTCATGTGTTTACTCCTTTCCCTTCCCTCTATAATGTACTTTTTTCAATAATGCCATCCTGAGTTCCCTCTCCCTTCACATACCCATTGAGCAAACTTCACTCTATTGTTTACTGCATAGGGTAAGATGGCGGCAATATCAGATCTGAACCAGGCACATATCAGTGCTGTCCTAAGTCTAAGCCAAGAGAAAAATCAGTTCAGAAAGGCTTGCATGTTCATGGGCAAGGAAAGAGGGCACCAAAGAGCTCTCCCACAAGCTCTTTCTAAGGGCATTACAAGAATTTGCTCTTACTTTTAAAAGAGGTTTTACCATCTTAAACAATGCTTGAGACTTAGGTAAGACTTTGCCTACATTGTCCTAAAAGAGCCACATAACACATGTCACTGTGCCCTCCAGCCTTCAAACATCCTGGAGACTTGTGGTATGAATCTTGGCTCACAGCCATTTCAAAGTCTGTCCTTGCCACTGCGTCCTGGGCATGTGCCTATAACATTGAAGTGTCCTATCGCAGCTGAGACTTCTTGTCACACCACCACCCCTATACCCTCTCAACTCCCCATAAACCCAGTAGAGGGCCATACTTTATGGGGAGCCCTGAAAAAATAAGAAGGGAGGTGGTCAGAAGTTACTAACTGTGGACATAACTCTTTTTTCTTTCAGGTCATTGCCTTCAAGTGAACATTTTCCCCGAGTCCAGTAGCCTTCCCAAGATGGTTCTTAGGTCTGCAAGTAGACTTGAGACCAACAAGGAAAAAGCATTCTAACAGAGTTTTGAATCAAATACAGAAAAACAAATAAAACTGAATATACATTATCATATTGTGCCTTTCTATTTGTAATTAAGCCTTCTAGAGGAAATGCAGTTATAGGACCCAAGTTGGATTTCACCACATCTGTGGGCTGGTTCTTCCTTTTGCTGCTACCTTTACCAGTCCACAAACTAAGCCCAGTGGGAGTGGCTGTACATTATCCATTTTTTATTATTTTAGGATCTACCTATCCATTAATCTGTCCATCTGCCCCCCTCTCCTGTGCATATTTGCTATATTCAAAGGCATAGAGTGCTTAAAAAAAGTTCCTGAGTGACTGATGTACCCTAACTCTCCCAGGTAGACTATGGGTTCATTCTTCTTTTGTTTCCCCCTTCAGTGCCTAGAACAAGTGTTCACCCCAACTACTAGGTGATGGCCACTACTAGGATACACTAGAGATAGGAGTATAGGGTTAGGAGGTAGGTTAGATGGTGTCAGACTAAGAAAGTGACAAATTAGAAGAGCCTAAGGAGCAAAAAGAAAAAAAGGAGAAAAAAGATACTAAACCAAAAAAGGAAAGTGTTGAGGGGAAGAGGCAGAACACAGAGGAAGAGGTGACAACAATATGGGGCCTAAAACTAAGTGTGAATCAGCATTTCAAGCTGGGACTAAAATAGGCAACCGGATTCAGGGGTCTATAAACCACAGAGAACTGGGAAGCTGATAATTCTGCTCTGTCCTGGCCATGGCTCAGTCTGTTAGACTGGCCTGGGAGAAAGCAAAGGGGGAACTGAAAGGAGAAGGTTAAAAAGGATGAAAAGCAGCTTTTCATGCCAATCACTGAAGACCAGACAAGAGGGACTAGGGTATTAAATATTATAGCAGGGAGAAACTGGCTGAGACAGGTCCTGGAATTGGTAGGCTGCTATATCAACAGAGGCCTCTACAACACTGTAGGCACACTGTAAGAGGCCAGGCTAGAGCCCAGACATTTGTGTTCCTATCCCAATTTCACCACTGAGGAGCTGGGTAACCTTGGGCAAGTCACCAGCCCTTTCTGTGATGCAATTTCCTCATCTAGTTAACTTGTAAGGGTTGTTTCTTCTTCAGTACTACATGATTTGGTGACCATCAATTTCAGTTCCCAAGATATTGGCACTAAACAGAGTTTTTTAGGGGCAGTGGCTGGGTAGCCCTGCAAGTGACACAAGCATTGTCTTCCTTCTGCTAGTGACACACCTGTTACGCCCATCTTCTCTCAGTGTTCCTGCAGTATCACCATCCTCTGGGCTTCTCCCCACTTCTCCCCATCCAACATCAAGTCCTTCCATTTTCTAGATTCTGCTTCTTTCAGGCCATTACCAAAGCTAACATCCAGAATAAACCCTCATCACGTTTTGCCTAAAAAGTTTGTATTCATCTCTACAAATGAATTAAGCACATTATAATCATCTGATTACCAACCTATCTTCACCTCCAGACTTTAAGGCCTCTTGAAGTCAGTGAGTGCATTTTATTTGTCTTGGCGTCCCAATATCCAGCAATGCCTGGCACACAGTTGAGTGCATTAATGTCTGTTTAGGGGAAAAAAATGAAAAACAATAGCAGACAAAGACCTCTAAATTTGTGTCAGACCTCCAGCTTCCCTCTCCACTCCCTAGGAAGTGTATTTTGACCGTCCTCCCTTCCTTGAGGGAATTTCACCTCCACTGTAAAATGCTTGAGTAAATGGTTCTTCCAAACCTAGTGTCCCAATTTCCAGAAATAGCCTCAAACAAATCAGAGAATAACTTCTATTTGTTGACCTTCTCCCTACAGAAACAATTGTTGTAATTTCAACAGCCCCACCCCAATTTGCACAATCTGTGTCGGTGTTCACATTCTGCTTCCATCTAGTACACTGTATTCCAACTAGAAAAACTTGCTCCCCATCTCCTACACAGGCGTCTATACTCTCCTCCTTAGCATTTTTCCATTGAGATCATCTCCTTTCCTAAGAACTCCCCACCCCCGCCCCACCCCCACCCAATTTCTACTTCCAGCTCATTTATTCCTTTCTTTCAAATCCAGATCTGCAGTTCTGTCCCCATTCTGCACTCTGTCCCTACCAGTTCCAGGCTTAGAACTAATCTCTCTGGCAGTGGCTAAACTGCAACCTGGAGCAAGAAATACAATTTACTTGGCACCTTAGCAATGAATACCCATAGAACTGAAACACGTTTTCTGATACAATAAATACCCTTGCCGAGTGGAACTCACAATATTTTCTACCCTGTTGTTTCAGTTATTTTCCAGTGCTGATCGTGATAGCTAATTCACTTTCCGGAGTGAATGAGTCTTGGCCCACATTTGAAGACTTTGTTCAGTGGGGCTGATGTTCCAGAACCTCAGGGCTGGAGCTTCGACATTGGTCTAGAGTGAGTTCCACCTGCGGGCAGGCCCGAGTCTCCGCCCCGCTCTGAACAAGTCCAGCCCCTACCCCAGCTCTGGGCGTCGCCGCCAGGCCCCAGCCTGCCGCTCTGGGTCGCGCCCCCTGAGCTGGCTGTGGTGGGCCGTGGGGCGGGCCTCAGGGTGGCCGTCGTGTGGGCCCGGGCTGGCACCCGGTGTAGGGGCGGCGGGGGGCGGCCAGCAGGCGGGAGGATGAGGCCCGCCCGCCACCACCGGATGCGAGGCATGCTGGGAGCCCGCACTTCCTCCTCAGGGGCCTCTAGAAAACCACAGGGCCCCGGGCCAGGGCAGCCGCCCCCAGGGAGCCAGCAGGATGGCCGAGGGCAGGGCGGGTGGCGCAGCCGGCCTCTTTGCCAAACAGGTGCAGAAGAAGTTCAGCAGGGCCCAGGAGAAGGTAGGCGGCCTGGCCTCGACGACTGCCCGGCCCCGCGGGCGCAAGGAGCTGAGGCCCGACGGGAGCCAAGGCCGGGCGGGCAGGACGACAGGCATGCAGGGCGCTCAGGGCCCCGGGAAGGCCAGGGCTGAAGAGGAGGGTCTCCCCGAGAAACGGGAGCAGGGAAAGGGTTTCCATGAAAACTGGCAGATTTGAGAGAGAATGAAGAACACCAAACAATCTTGGGCAAGGGTGGGGGAAGCCGAGGCGATAGCAGTCTCTCAGGAACCTTAAACAACCACCTAGAAAAGGTGAATGAAAGGAACTGACATCGGCCAACCATGTATCGGGTTTTGTCCTAGCAAGCCAGGAGGATGGTATTTTACAGATGATGGACTTGGTGGGTAGTTTCCCTCGGAGGGTAATTTCCCCAAAGGCAAAGACAGTGATGACCAGCTGTGATGCCCGTGTGTACCACCAGTTAGCTTGAATTGGGAGTCTACTGAAAACTAGAATAATTCTACATAATTCTCTCTCTACCTACTCCTGACTGGTCTCTGGATGTTAAGCTGTTGTAAGTAGTAGTCCATATCTGCTTCCTGTACCCTCCCTTTGGCATTGGAGAGTGCACTGCCCAGGATGATGAAGGGGTGTGTGTCTCTTTTTAGATTGTGTCCTTGGTTAGTGCTGAGTAGTCCTACCCCAGCACTAGCGTTTAGGTTGGCTGCCCATCTATAACTTGTCTGCTTATAGAGATCATGCGGACACTGTTCACTTTTTTTTTTTTTTTTTTTTTTGAGACAAGAGTCTCACTCTGTTGCCTGGGCTAGAGTGCCGTGGCGTCAGCCTAGCTCACAGCAACCTCAAACTCCTGGGCTCAAGCGATCCTTCTGCCTCAGCCTCCCGAGTAGCTGGGACTACAGGCATGCGCCGCCATGCCTGGCTAATTTTTTTTTTATATGTATATTTTTAGTTGTCTAGCTCATTTCTTTCTATTTTTTTAGTAGAGACGGGGTCTCACTCTTGCTCAGGCTGATCTCGAACTCTTGAGCTCAAACGATCCTCCTGCCTTGGCCTCCCAGAGTGCTAGGATTACAGGTGTGAGCCACCACTACCAGCCTACTGTTCACATTTTAATGGCATTTTTGTTTCTATCTGTCCAGAGTATTTTCTTTGCTTCTAACCTGAACCTCCCCTCTCCACCTACCAACACTCTATTAGGCAAGGTGGTATGGGAAGACTTGTATGCCAGAAGAAAAGGGGAGGCGGGGGACAAGAAGGACCTAAGATACAGTTCTGGTTTTTTAAAGGCTAATGGACTTAGCATTTGGGTGAACAACACATACTAAACAATTGAAATAAAGATATTATCTTCTAAAGGTGGAACACTGGTTTGGGTCCTGGAAAAGATTAAGGGCAACCAGCTCTCCCAAGTGGGATTATCAAAAGAGAATTGATAGAATGTAGATGTAGTTCCTGACTTTAAGAGACAAAAATGGTGGACTCTTTTTTCGGCCTCCACCCATCTGCAACCAGATGCTCAAAATAAACAGCATTTTGCTACACATGAGGCTTCGTGTATCACTCTCTCAGCTCTGGACCTAACATTTGGTGCCAAAACTCAGGAGGGCACACCGGGTGGACATGACCTCCCGGACTAAAAAAGAGAGGCAACAGTGAAAGGGAGGGCCTGTATATACTTTTTCTTTTCTTTTTTTCTTTTTTTTGAGACAGGGTCTCACTCTGTTGTCTGGATTAGAATGCTGTGGTATGTTATCATAGCTCACAGAAACCTCAAATTCCTGGGCTCAGGCAATCCTTCTGCCTCAGCCTCCTGAGCAGCTGAGACTACAGGCACTTGCCACCACGCCTGCCTAATTTTTTCTTTTTTTGCAGAAACAGGGTCTTTCTCTTGCTCAGGTTGGTCTCGAACTCCTGGGCTCAAGTAATCTTGCCTCAGCCTACTAAGTAGCTGGGACTACAAGTGTGCAACCATGCCCAGCTGGATATACTTTTTCTTTTATTTCTTTTTTCAATAAGCCCTTTTTAAAGCATGATATATATGCTTTTTCTGTCTCATGAGATGAAGTGAAAGAAATGAGGAAAAGGGAAAGATTCTGTGTGGCCAGACTTTGTTATTTCACTTACCCTTAACTTCACCTTGATCATGGTTTCAGCCTCTCTGAAGGCTGTCTGTTTACAAATCAATAGACCTGAGAGCAGTGCCTGTGGGAAAGTCTCTGTTAGAAGCAGTGTGGGAGAGCAGGAGGTATTAGAGAGGAGAAGCCTAGGCTATGGTCAAAAAAAACAAAAAACCCAAAATACATGAATAATAGTAATTTTAAAAAGACAAACCAAATGCTGGGTGCAGTGGCTCACCCCTGTAATCTCAGCACTTTGGGAGGCCAAGATGGGAGGACTGCTTGAGGTTGGGAGGTCAGGGTTGCAGTGAGCTACATTAGTGCTACTGTACTCCAGTCTGGGTGGGTGACAAAGAGAGACCATGTCTCAAAAAAAACAAAAAAAATAAGACCAATTGACTTTACCTCAGTCTTTTACTCACTATCTTCATCTAGCCTATCATCAACACTACACATGCCTTGCTTTGGGCTTTCTCTCTTTTTTAAGCATGAACTCCAAAATCTTAGGTAAATAATGCCCTGCTCTGGGCTTCAGATCCTGCATTTGTAAAATGAAAAGGTTGATGTTCTTGATGAAATTCAATAAGGTAAAAACACCAAATTGAAAAGAGGAAGGGCCAGGCGTGGTGGCTGACACCTGTAATCCTAGCACTCTGGGAGGCCGAGGCGGGTGGATCGCCCAAGGTCAGGAGTTCGAGACCAGCCTGAACAAGAGCAAGACCCCATCTCTACTAAAAAATAGAAAGAAATGATCTGGACAACTAAAAAAAATATATAAAAATTAGCCGAGCATGGTGGCACATGCCTGTAGTCCCAGCTACTTGGGAGGCTGAGGCAGAAGGACTGCTTGAGCCCAGGAGTTTGAGGTTGCTGTGAGCTAGGCTGACGCCATGGCACTCTAGCCCGGGCAACAGAGCAAGACTCTGTCTCAAAAAAAAAAAAAAAGAAAGAAAAGAAAAGAGGAGGAGGCTCCTTGAACCTCAGAGTCAAATGCTTCCCAAAGGGAGAACCAGCCCCGATTCTTCCTGCCCCGAATCCTGAGAAGATAGAGGGGAGCAAACTCAAATCTGCTCTAGGGAACTTCCAGGTTGATGCAGAAAACAAGATACTCTGAACCCAGACTTAGGCACAGGGGCAGGTAGACATTGAACTTGGATAAGGTGGGAATGGTCTAGGCTGGGGGAGAGAGCTCAGCTCAGTCAGCCTGGAGCCAGATCCCTTGAGTCGAGAAGTTATCGAGGGCAAGATAAAGAGGAGAGAGTTGCATTAAAAAGAAAGGATTCCCTGGAACACTTTTTGATTTTTCTGTAAGAAGTTGGATGTAATCTGAGTAATGTAATAGCTAATGTGTCAAATAGTGATATGTGTCAAATATCAAGTGCCTATTATAGAACAGGCACAGGGATATAACAAGAAAGAGATGATCCCTCCCTTTATGGAGCCAACATTCTAGCAATACGATCTCACTTCATCTTTTCAACCCCTTAAGCAAGTTGTTAGTATCCCAATTTTAGAAATGAGGAAACAAGTCTCAAAAGAGATTGGTAAGTGGCAGAACAATTACTGAAACCCAGGTGTCCTGCCTCTGAATCCTAACCTCAGGGCACTCCCTTTACAATGTTCCTGATAAACCTCTCTGACATCTGTGCCTCCCCACTTGCTGCTGATCCTCTCTCAGAAGCAACAGAGTTTAGGAGTGGAAACACATTTTGCTCAGGCTTCCTCCTCTAAAAAGCTGGGGGTGAATGTCTGGTGACTGGTAAACACAATCGGGATGAAACATTCTGCTTGATCTATTTTCCAATTCAAACTCAGCATGAGGCTGAATTTAAGCTGGCTTAATTTTGTTTTTACAGTATGATACATCTTCACATTTCAAACTACAGTACTGCTTTCACCATCTGTTCATGTCTTGTCTGTGGCAGACTTCTTAGATCTCCCCTGAGAAAGGGCATTGTTTACCACTACTTTGTTGGTCTTTTCCTCTGTTGACTTTTTCTTACCCTATATCCCAGAGGGATTTAATTCACCAAATATTTACAGAAAAGCTCTTTTGTCAGGGGTACTCGACTGGACCCAGGAGGGAATTTAGAGATAAGAGACATTCTTGCCTACCAGAAGCTTGCAATCTAGTTAAAGAAAAAATAAAATAAAATAAGTAACCTGGGAGTATGCAGGTCTATGGGAATTCAGAGGGCAGAAAGATTGGGGAGAATCAAGGGAGCTTTTATGGTGGGGGTGAATTTGAAATAGGAATTGTGGGTGATTAGTAGTTCCTTAGGTAAGTGGTTAGAGAGCTTTCTAGCTGAGAAATGCCAGCAAGAGCAAGGCATGGAGTCTAGAAGTACTTTTAGACATAATAGTGAAAAATGCTGTTGAGCTGGAGCACCGGGAGTAGTGGGAGAAAAGACTGGAAAAAGTATATTAGGTCCATAAAGTAGGAAGGCCTACTTTAGCATATATCCTAAAGATTTCTTACGTAACCACAACAAAATTATTACATCTATGAAAAAGTTTTAGCAAAATTATATAATACAATCTAATATCCAGGCCCTATTCCAATTACCCCAGTTGTTATAACTGATTATGGGGAAAGGTGATAGTGAAGAACTATAGCTACCAAACATGTATGCAGTGATTTTTTTTGAAGCTTTACCCAGCCCTCCTCATCTACAGAAAAGTTAAAAGAATAGGTCAGTGAACACTAGAATATTTTCCACCCAGATTCACATTTACTTCCTTGTCCTTGTTCTTGCTCTTTCTCTCCAAATATCTATTTTTTAACTTTGCAGCTGCCAGGCCAGGCAAATTGGGGCAGAATTCTCAGGGCAGGACTTTAGGGATTGGCATTACATGGGCTTTCATTAGGAAGTGATCCAAAAGTACAATTTATTCATTCTTTCAACAAACATCTGTTGAGCATCTGTACACCCTGTTCCCTCAAGGATCTCTCAGTTGAGGAAGAACACCTATAACATAGTATAAGTGACACATGGACCTGCTGCTTACAGCAACAAATGACTTTGGCCCCAGAACACTGGGTTATGTTTCAGGGTGATAATACTATAACCCTTTTACTTTCAGAGTTGAGGGTGGGGAGGTTCCCTCAATAGCCCCCAAACCCTCCACCTCTAAGCCTTTTAGGATTGGGGAGATTGGTCTGCCCCAGTCTTCCCCTATACTGACTCTAGACTGAGTTTTCTCTTTTCTTTCATTTCTGCCACCTTCACCCAAGAAGAACCAAGCCATGGGCAAAGGAAGGGAGGGGTAGCATAAAGGAAGTAAGAGCTGCACTTGCCACTGAACAAGGTGGTTTTGCAACTTTCTGGTAGAGGACAGTGTTTTGTTTGGGGGGAGAGGGTGGAGCCAGGGAGGATGGCAGACTATACCAGGGCTGGGTGATGAGTGAGGTGGAGTTAGAGATAAACACTAACAGATATGGCCAAACCAAAAAGGAAATACAGGCATTTACAGGCAAGGGAGTGAAACTAGACATAATGATAGTGGATATGCTCTTTGTAAGGCAGCACTGAGAAAGCAGTTTACATGTATAATATCATTTAATCCTTAACAACTCCAGGAGATAAATATTATCCTAATAGGGGAAATGAAGCTCTGTAAACTGAGTCTCAAGAGTTTAAGTGGGCCGGTCGCGGTGGCTGATGCCTATAATCCTAGCACTCCGGGAGGCCGAGCTGAGTGGATTGTTTGAGCTCAGGAGTTCAAGACCAGCCTGAGCAAAAGTGAGACCCCATCTCTACTAAAAAATAGAAAGAAATTAGCTGGGCAACTAAAAATATATAGAAAAAATTAGCCGGGCATGGTGGTACATGCCTGTAGTCCCAGCTACTAGGGAGGCTGAGGCAGAAGGATTGCTTGAGCCCAGGAGTTTGAGGTTGCTGTGAGCGAGGATGACGACACAGCACTCTAGCCTGGGCAACAGAGTGAGACTCTGTCTCAAAAAAAAAAAAAAAAAAGTTTAGGCGACTTGCCCAAAGGCTTATAGTCAATAAGTGGAAGGGCCAAAATGGGAGCCCATATCTATCTGACTCCAGAGTACTTGATCTTAACCACTACAGAAAGAGCTCCAGGAGTGAGACACACTTACCCTCGGGATTAAGAATGGACACTCTTGGATCAGAGTCTCTACACAGAACCTGCCACACTCCCCAGATCTGGACACTCTTGCATGGGATTCAGAGCCCTTCATAATGAGAATCCACTCTCACTTTTCTAGCTTCATTTCCCACAACTCCCCCAAACAGACTCCAAGCCAGCCATGCTGGACCATCTCATGAAGCTGCATGCTCCCATGACTTTGCTGATGCTGTTGTCTTTGCCTGAAATCCTCTTTCCACTCTTTGTACTCTATTACAATCTACCAAATTCTACTTCAAGGCCCCATCCATTCATCCCCTTCTATAGCATCAGTCTCACTCCCCTTTCTGTTAAAATTATTAAGTATTTATTTGCTGGATAATGAGAAATCTAAGCGAGCAAGAAAAGTACCCAGTCCTTAAGGAGCTTACAGTTTAGAAGGAGACATAGACAAATAAATACAAATAATAAAACAATAATATTAATATATACAAGGTATAGAAATTGCAGGCACTTAGAAGGAAGTGATTAACTTGATGGGATGAAGTGGATATGGTTAAGTGTCACAAAGGATATAGAGTATAAACTGGACTTTTTAGATATTTGCCTGGCAGGCAAGGTGGGGAAAGATATTCTAGAAAGAGAGACCAGCATCTATGACAAGCAACAGTGTAGCTTATTCAGGAAACTAAAATAGTGTCAAGGAGGGAAACTTGCATGGAGGAAGAGTAATGAGAGCTGGGCTTAATGAAGGTCACATCATTGGCACCTGTATGCATGCTAGCATTTGACCTATTACTTATAGATACATACTGGGCATTTAATAAACATTTGTTGAAGAGCTGAATGGGGAAATTAGAAAGTTTTAAGCAGCAGCCTGGTAGACCTGTTGCAGCAGGCCAGGTGAGAAACAATGAGGGCCTAGACTATGGCTATTGCAGTGAGACCAGAGAGCATAGGATGGTTTCCAGAGATGGATATGGTAAGGGATTTGATGAGGAGGGTGAAGGAGAAGTAGTTGAAGGTAACTCCTGAGTTTCTAATTTGGGCCCGGGGGATGGTGGTACTTCCTTCCAAGATGGGGGTTACAGGAAGAAGACTGAGGGCTTTCTTACTACATGTAATTACTTGTTTTTTGGTTTTTTTTTTTTGAGACAGAGTCTCACTGTGTTGCCCGGGCTAGAGTGCCGTGGCGTCAGCCTAGCTCACAGCAACCTCAAACTCCTGGGTTCAAGCGATCCTCCTGCCTCAGCCTCCTGAGTAGCTGGGATTACAGGCATGCGCCACCATGCCCGGCTAATTTTTTCTATATGTATTTTTAGTTGTCCAATTAATTTCTTTCTAGTTTTAGTAGAGACGGGGTCTCGCTCTTGCTCAGGCTGGTTTTGAACTCCTGAGGCCTCCCAGAGAGCTAGGGTAATTACTTGTTTATGAGTGAATGGCCCCTATGAGAATGGAGACTGGGTCTTATTCATCACCATGTCTTTTGCATTAGTACTGAGATTAGTATGATGGTTGTCTCTCAGCTTTTCTGGTTGAGAGGAAATAGACATGGATAGCATTCAGTGTCTAGTTGAGTTTGAAGTGTATTATATCAGGGCTTCGAAAAGTTTTCCACAAGGACCCTCATGAGAGAAGAGTCCCTTGGCTACCTCTCTAACTTGATCTACTACAGGAATCTGTGGCCACGGCTGGAAGACAGTCTCTCAAGTAAAAAATGTGTTCAGGCTCATGTTTTATTTTTAAAAGCCATGGACATTTTACATTCTTCTCAATCTTTGCTTTATTTTTATTTATTTAATTATTTTGAGATAGGGTCTCCCTCTATTGTCCAGGATGGAGTACAGTGGTATAATCATAGCTCACTGCAGCCTCAAACTCCTGGGCTCAAGCAATCCTCCTGCCTCAGCCTCCCTAGTAGCTGGGTGAACCACCATGCTTGGCCTTAATCCTTGTTTTGATATACTGCTCTCCTCCTTCCCTCTAAAAAAAGAAAACAGTTTAAGTGTACAATGACAGGCCAAGCATGGTGGTTTAAGCCTGTGATCTGTAATCCCAACATTTTGGGAGGCCTAGACAAGAGGATTGCTTGAGGCCAGGAGTTTGAGAGCAGCTTGGGCAACATAGCAAGACCTCATCTCTACAAAAAAATTAAAAATTGGCCGAGTGTGGTGGTGCACACCTGTAGTCCTAGCTGCTAGGGAGGCTGAAGCAGGAAGATTGCTTGAGCTCGGCAGTTCAAGGCTGCAGTGAGCTAAGATCGCACCACTGAATTCCATCCTGGGCAACAGAGGGAGACCCTATCTCAAAGAAAAAAAAAAAAGTAATGACATTCCAGGAAGATATACCTTATTTATTCTGAGCTTTATATATAGAGCCCACTACTACATACTCCCAGAGCTACCCCCAATTTGAGAAGAACCACAAAACATGTTTTTTTTTTTCAATAATGTGTTATATTCCTAATTCTCTTGGGCTGATGATTACAACCCTTTAGTTGTATCTGAGACTTGAGTGAAACCAGGATCATATAAGGCCAACAGATAAGAGACTTGACTGTAACCTTATGGTCTTTTTTGTCTTATATCTCCAGGTACTGCAGAAATTGGGAAAAACTGTAGAAACCAAAGATGAGCGATTTGAACAAAGTGCCAGCAACTTCTACCAACAACAGGTAATCTGGAGGGTGGGGAAGGGAAGCTTGGAGGAAGAAAGAAGACATGAGGGTTGAATGGCAGAAGAACAGCAGGTTCTGCAAAGCGGCAAATGTCCCTACCAGCCCATCCTCCCCACAAGGGATAAGGGCCACAGGGTGACTCACTACTTATCCGTCCCCTGGGAACCAGAGAAACTTACCTTTCCAGTTCCAGCTGACCCTGGGATTTACAGGGACAGGGGAACGTTCTTTTCTTTTAGTGGCTCCCCTCAGGACGGCCAAGGTACAGTTGCATCACCAGGTCCTTAGACAACATCAAATGTGAGCCTCTTGCCACCTTCATTTGTGGCTTATTCACCTTCCCAGAGTACCTCTCTGCCACCCTAGGGCTCCTCTCAACTCAATAGCCTCATGCTTTCTTCATTGTCTCTTTGTTTCCTACGTCTACCCCACCTAAGCCCTTTGTTCTAAAATACCTCCATCTTTACCTGTCATTTCTACCAACAAACCTCTTGTTCTCACTGTTCCTTCTATTTCAGCTAGGTATTATGGATAATTTCATGTAGAAAATATACATTAAGAAGTAGATAATAGAGGTTTAACCATTATGGGATATTTGACTTTCCATCTACCATGTGCAAGGCATTGTGCTCAACACTTCACATACATCCCCTCTTTACAATAGAAGGGAGTTATTAACTTAAATGAATATCCAGTTGCAATGCAATTCTGACACTACCCAGAGTTAAGTCAGATTGCACAGGTTAAGGGCATAGTGTCCCACAGGACTGCCCTCCCTTTAGACACCAGCTGCGAGCTCTGGGTTCCCAGGCTACTGCACTTCTGACCAACTAGCTACAAATTTGGAAGTTCCTACTACCTGCTCAGGTTTGATAATTCACTAATATGACTCTCAGAACTCAGGAAAGTGCTCTACTTACAATCATAATTTTATTATAAAAGATACAAACCAGGATCAGCCAACTGAAGAGACCCATAAGGTGAGGTCTGGGAGGTCCCAAACATGAAGCTTCTGTGTCCCCAGAACATGTTATTCTCTCAGCATGTTGATGTAGGATTACTCAGGTGAGCTTCAGGTGTCCAGAGTTCTTACTGCAATTTATTTACATATTGAATCATCGACTATGTGATTGAACTCAGTCTCTCCCTTGCCCTCCCTAGGAGGTCAGGCTGATATCACCTGTCCCAGAGCTTCAATCCTCCAATTACAGGGTTCATCTTTCCAGCCTGCCAGCCACCATCGTGAGTCATTTGTTTAGTGTAAACTCAGGTATGGTCTGAGGGGACCACCTTGAATAATGAAGACACAGGATTTAGAGGTTACTTCTCAGGAACCAGGGACAAAGACAACACAAATTCTTTTTTTCTTTTTGGGACAGGGTCACCCAGGCTAGAGTGAAGTGGTGTCATCATAGCTCACAGCAACCTCAAACACCTGAGTTCAAGCAATTCTCTTGCCTCAGCCTCCTGAGTAGCCGGGACTATAGGCATGCACCAACATGCCTGGCTAATTTTTTCTATTTTTTGGTAGAGACGGGTGTCTTGATGTTGGTAGGGCTGGTCCTGAACTCCTGGCCTCAAGCAGTCTCCCTGCGCCAGCCTCCCACAGTGCTAGGATTACAGGCGTGAGCCACTGCACCTGGCCTACAAATTCTTTATTATACAATATCAGTTAAATTACATGGGAAATAATTTTAAAAATTATGTTAAAAGGATATTAGCTATCATCTAATTCAGTAGTTGATTGTATAACAATCATTTGGGAACTGTTTAAAAATGCAAGGTCTCTGGGAGTAGGACCTGGGAATCTTATTTTTAAACTTTTTTATTGGAAAATTTTAACTATATACAAAGGTAGAGAAACTTGTATAATGAATCCACATGTACCCACCTTTCAGCTTCCATAACTTATCAACTCATGGGCAATCTTGTTTCATCTGTGTTCCCACCCACTTTCTTCTATCCTTGATTATTAGGAAGCAAATTCCAGATGTCATCATCTGTCAACCTAAATAAAAAAAGAGGCTCTCTAAAAGAAAAACATATTGGTGGATGCCTTTTTCGGCCTCCATCCATCTGCACCCAGATGGTCAAATAAACAGCATTTTGCTACACATGAGTCTTCGTGTGTCTCCCTTTCAGCTCTGGATCTAACATTTGGTGCCGAAACCTGGGAGGGCACATTGGGTGGACATGAGCTCTGGGACTGTAGCAGGCAAGGCTTGCAACTCGGAAAGCAGTAGGCAGTGGCAGCTCATCCTGGGCTTACGCCTGAATCCTGCCTTCCTCTGAGTCCTTTGGTAATCAGTAAGGTTTCCACAATTCTTTCCTGAATATAAAAAAAACAAAAACATATTTATTCAGGAATAGAGCATTGCAATAGGAATACGTGTGCCATGGTAAACTATGTGCATATTCAGGAAGATAAAGGTTTTTAAAGGAAAAAAATGACAAGGATTACATGATCGTTTTGGAGTAATTAGTCTTAGCTACAAAGATCAATAACAAGGGTGATGCTACTCCAAGATTGGACAGGCAGTTGCTGGGCAAATGTCCTTGCAAAAGAATTTATCGTATAAGGTTGCAAGAGCCTTTGTGCAAGATTGTGGTTTTTGCAGTCATTTGTGATAATTTTTGTTATCAGGCATATAGGCATGAGAACCCTCTCTTCATGGCCTTCCCTGGCTCTATTTGTTAGGGTTTGTTTTTTTTTTTTAACACTAGTGACTCCATTTTGATTCTGATAATTTCCACACATCCATTAAAATTTCATCATCCATCTCTAAAGGTAAGGACTCTTTTAAAATGTAACCACAATACCACTGTCACACCTAAAAATGTTTTTCTGTAAAACATTTACTCATAGGCTGCGTGCGGTGGCTCACGCCTGTAATCCTAGCACTCTGGGAGGCCAAGGCGGGAGGATGGCTCAAGGTCAGGAGTTTGAGACCAGCCTAAGCAAGAGCGAGATCCCATCTCTATTAAAAATAGAAAGAAATTAGCCAGACAACTAAAAATATATAGAAAAAATTAGCTGGGCATGGTGGTGCATGCCTGTAAGTCCCACCTACTCGGGAGGCTGAGGCAGAAGGATCGCTTTGAGCCCAGGAGTTTGAGGTTGCTGTGAGCTAGGCTGATGCCACAGCACTCTAGCCTGGGCAACAGAGTGAGACTCTGTCTCA